CCCGCATCGGGCTCTCTGCTCGGCGGGAAGCCTGCTTCTCCCTCTTCCCCTCCCTCTGCTTGTGTTCCCTCTCTCGCTGTGTCTCTCTCTGTCAAATAAATAAATAAAATCTTTAAAAAAAAAAATATGATGAAATTATCATTATCTATATTTTTAAGTGAAATTTGATTCTATATCAAAGAATTTAAAAAAATAATACTTGAAAATTTTCCCAACTACCAAAGCCTTAAATGTGAAAGGCAAAATGATTAAATGTTTAGAAAACAACATCGGAAAATATGTATATGATCTTGGAGAATTAGTCATTTCTTATATAAGATAAAAGAATCACAATCCAAAAATAAAAAGAGTGATAAATTCAACCTGCTTAACAATGAAATGATAATGGGTTAATATCCAGAATATATAACACACTCTTACAACTCAACAACAAAAAAAAACAAACTCCGTGATTCTAAAAATGCACAAAGGACTTAATGGACATTTCTCCAGGTAAGATACTCCAAGGGCCAACAAGCACATGAAAAGATGCTCAACATCATGTATCATTAAGGAAATGCAAATCAAAACCACAAGGGGATACCACCTGCAGTGCATTAGGATGGCCGCTATCAAGAAAAGAAATAAAAAGAAAAGAACAAATGTTGGTGATGATGTGGAGAAATTAGAATCCTTGTGCACTATTAATGGGAACATAAAATAGTGCAGCTACTATGGAAAGCAGTATGGCAGTTCCTCAAAAAATTAAAAACAGAATCACCATATGATCTATTAATTCCACCAAGGTGTATATTCCCATGAGAAATGAAAGCAGGGACTCAAACAGATGTTTGTACACCCATGTTTTTAGTAGCATTATTCACATCAGCCAAAAAGTGAATACAATCCTAATGATGAGTGGGTAAACCAAATATGGTATACACATGCAATGGAACATTATTTAGCCTTAGAAAGAAAAGAAATTCTGACACATGCTACAACATGGTTGAACCTTGAAGACATTAAACTCAATGAAATAAGTCAGTCACCAAAAGACAAATAATGTATGAATCTACTTATCCCAAGTGCCCAGAACAGTGACTGGCACATATAGGTGTTTAATAAATACTTGTTAAGTGAATGAACGAACGAATCTGTAACAGCCTCACACCCATAATAAATATTCAGGGAAATTTTGTCCACAAGTCAATTTCTAGATGTCTCAAAAACTTCCAAAATATTCAGGGTTTTCAATAAATACCTGGGAATCCACACCCAGTAAATAATTAGTCTACTGATGACTTTCACCTAAGCTAACCCACAATGAAATAAAAACAGATGAAATATTTCCTTCCAGGTTTGCCTCAGATTTTGCAGGGTCAGGAAAAAATGTTAATGTCCTTCGGAAGTCCCACAGCACATAACAGCAATTAGGGGTGTGTTCCTAATTGCCAAAATGGATAAGAGAAGACAACTATCCCCAAGCATAAGTAAGTGTCAACAGAAGATGATGGCACGTCAGCCAAAATGGAAGTTAACTTCCCATTAGAAACAGCGCCAAGAGGGAGGGGAAAACCAGTGACTGAAGGACCATTTGGGGGGAGTAACAAGAACAGGACTGTTCTCTACTTCTGTGGAAAGAACTGTGAAAATAAAAGTAGAAAAAGTCTCAGAAATGTCGATATCTATTAGCATAATAGCCCAAAACCATGACGCCAGATTTCTATTGTGTGGTGGACTGATGAGTTTTATCTTCTGAGGATGGAAGTAAAGAATGACTCACTCGCAATTTAAAAAGGCAATAAGGAAACTGACATGGCTCCACCCAGACCCATTTCTCAGATAACCACCAACCTGAGGGCAACTGCCCTCCTACAGAAAGGAGCCCAGCTAAGTTAGTTACTAATTAGGAAAAATCATCCAATTATGCTAACTTGCTGAGGCTGGCAAGCCATGTTTTACTCTTTGTAGGCAGAATTTCATCCAGAACACACTTGAGAATTGTCTATAAAAAGGCAAACAAAACAGTTGAGACCATGAGGCACTCCACTCTGGCTCTCTCCAAGACAGCTGTGCAACGCATCGGCCCTGATACCATGTCTCTTCGACTCTCCAGTGGATCCAGGAGGGCCTGTCCCCGTCCTACTGCAGGATCGCTCAGGCTCTCTGGCGGGGGGTCCGGCTTTGGAGTGGGCAATGTTTGCAGCCTGCCTGGAATTGGAAGTGGTTTCTCGTGCACCTTCGGGGGCAGTTCATCAGGCGGAAATGCAGGGGGAGGCAATCTCTGTGCTGGCTTTACGCTGAATGAGGGGGGCCTCCTGTCAGGCAACGAGAAGGTGACCATGCAGAACCTCAATGACCGCCTGGCCTCCTACCTGGAGAATGTGCGAGCTCTGGAGGAGGCCAACGCCGACCTGGAGCAGAAGATCAAGGGCTGGTATGAGAAATTTGGGCCTGGTTCTTGCCGTGGTCTTGATCACGACTATAGTAGATATTTCCCGATAATTGAGGATCTGAAAAATCAGGTAAGAAATTACACTTCATGATCATTTTTACATAGTTTCATTTCTAAATGTTCTTTTCCTTTCTTCACTGAATACTAAAAGCATGGATCATCCCTATGTGTAATTTCTTTTTTTTTTAAGATTTTTATTTATTTATTTATTTGAGAGAGAGGAGTGATAAAGCACTAGCGGGGTGAGGGGCAGAGGGAGAGGGAGAAGGAGACTCCCCCTCTGAGCAGGGAGCCCTACTCAGGGCTCCATCCCAGGACCCCAGGATCACAACCTGAGCTGAAGGCAGACGCTTAACCAACTGAGCCACCCAGGCGCCCCTTTATTTATTTATTTTTTAAAAGATTTTATTTATACATTTGAGAGAGACAGAGACAGAGCACAAGCAGGGGGAGAGGCAGAGGGAGAGGGAGAAGCAGGCTCCCTGCTGAGCTGGGAGCCCGATGTGGGGCTCAATCCCAGGACCTGGAGATCATGACCTGAGCTGAAGGCAGACGCTTAACCAACCGAGCCACCCAGGAGTCCCCCTATATTTAATTTCTTAAAGGGAATTTCAATGTAGCATTGGAAATAAGTATTAAGTAGATTTGGTTTGTGAACCTCATGATAAAAATGTCACTGTCTAGTAACTATATTAATTTTTATTATTCCCACTCCCTAACCTTAAAAAAAAAAAACTTATTTTTTATTGGTTGTGTTAAATTGCCCTTTAAAAGCCAAACTCCCCATTTCCAGATCATTGCTTCCACCACCAGCAATGCTCATGCTATTCTGCAGATCGATAATGCCAGGCTGACAGCGGATGATTTCCGACTCAAGTAAGTCAACTCAGAGAGTGAAAAAGATACATGGGAATTAACATGAAGCATTAAATTGAATTTATTTTTTGAGCCCTCCATTAACTATTACCAGCTCTTATTCCAACACTGGTAAAACACTTGGATTTAAAACAGAATGTAAAATAAACTAAACAGAATGTTACTACTTTTTTATATTTTGGCTGTGAAACATAAAGTATGAACTGCTCTAAAAGCAGTGTCCAATCCCCTAGTTCATTTTCTGTGACAGAAATACCTCAAATTAAAGAAAATAATTATTCTTATGCAGTATACTTTTAAAATGTTTCTTGTGGCCAAATCTGCCACTTCAAAATTCCAGAATTCTAGCCCTTGATCATTGATAAGTGACTATTTTTCCCACCATATGACATACCGGAAAATCATGAATGTTCCTTAAGGTATGAAAATGAGCTGGCTCTTCACCAGAGTGTGGAGAGCGATGTCAATGGGCTACGCAGAGTTCTGGATGAAATCACCTTGTGCAGAACAGACCTGGAGATTCAGTATGAAACCCTCAGTGAGGAGATGACTTACCTGAAAAAGAACCATAAGGAGGTAAGAACTGCCTATGTGCATTTTGCTATCCCTCTGCAGACACCGTCCATCTGGCAGAAGATAATGCACTTGACTTCTTAAATGAGAAATTGGTACTAAAGACCCACTGTCAAATAGGCAATGAGGCATGAGTTGTCTTGAGAAATGGCAAAGTATTTGTACAAATCCACCCTTGCTCTCTCATCAAGTTTCCCATGGGAAAAAAAAAAAAAAGAATCCTGTTTTCCAGATCAATCAGGTTTATAAGAGTAGTGTTTGGCTAGGTAATTATAGCTAAGTTAAAATGGGACAGTTAAGAGATTACATCTAATTACATAAAATAAATATACTGTAAGGACATCCTAAGAAAACTAGATCTAAATTCCTATATAATAGTGGCAGATTCAAAACACTTAAACATTTACCTTGTACATACATTACATATATACATTTAATATTAATGCATATTCTTAATAGGTGTGTCTATAAAAAGGGAGACTGAAAATAAATTGTTACATCAAAATCTTTTCTTCCAAATAAAGAATATACTTCAAAGCAGTCACCATTGGAAGCTGGGTTCAAAATCGGATCCTACAGCCACTATTCCAGACACGTCTTTGGGACTGCTTTTAGAACCACTGTTTTCTGGGAAAAAAAAAAAAATCTTTATTCTTTGAAAATGAACTTGATATTTTTAAACAGCCAAAAGGCTTCTACAGTCAAGCCAAATACTTAAAGCAGGAAATCAGGCTAAAAATGCTATTTGATTAGGCATGAGCCTGTCTTATAAAAATAACTACTTGAAGAACAACATTTCTATGGTTCAAGCATGGGTGTTGCCCATCCATGGTAGGTAATAAATTTTTGATAAATTGCATACCATTGATTTTTTTACAGGCAAACCCACATGCATCTCTTTTATCTTTTTCTGCTTGAACTGGGGAAGTTTTCACTAAGTCCTCTGAAGTAAAAGCCACATCTGACAATAGAGAAGATCTGGGGCTACCAGGGAGGAAAGAATGCTAGAATCGCTCGAGAGACTTGGGGCAGGAAGGAAAGAAAACCTCATTACTGATCGTCATAAGGACCAATCTAAACCCAGGACGTGGTGGAGAGGAGAGTTTCTGCAGTAGGGACAGAAGCTGACCCATACGTTTTCAGTGCACACAGTCTTAGCAGTGATGTCTGCCAACCACAGTCTGAGAGAAGAAACTCACTCCATCCCAACAGTACATACTGCATATGGAATCATGTGTGGACTTTGACTGCAAAACTGATTCCAACTTCTACGATGATGACAATGAGCAGAATAACTAGCATTTATTTAGTATTTATACACCAGGTATATTGTTGGTCATTTTAGTAATAGTTCTTTCACCCCTTTCAACAACCCAGAGAAGGATTTTTATCCTCAACTTTCAGATAACAATACTGAGATTTAAAGAAGTTAAGCAACTTTCTCAGGTTCATCCAGCCACAAGGCAGAACCAGAATTCACATAGAGATGTGTCTAACATCAAATGTCCCTGTGTAAGCTTAATAGCTTCTTAAACAGCTAGAATTCTTTAGAGGATGGTACTCTTCCTTTATTAATTATAAGTAAACAAATATATTTATAAGTATAAAATATATACACATAAATATTTATTTATAATTATTTCAATTGTTCAGAAATACTCAGACTCAGCCCCTCGCCCCTGTTCATGCTGTGTTCAGGATCTGGCTGAGTCAAGAACACATCAAAGCTGTTTGCTAAGTGGATTGAAGACCAGTCCACCAAGGTGGAGACATTTCAGCTGTAAATGAATAGAATAAGAGATGGTGGATAATTCATTTTCAATATCTTAAGGGTTTTCATTCGGAAAAGGAATTAAGACTTTCTGTGCAACAGAACTAAAACCAGTGAATTGGAGTCATAAATGCAGGACTTTGGTTCACCGGATGGGAGAGCTCTGGAGCAGTTGAAGAACTCTCTCATTATGAAGCAGGCTACTTCGTGAGATGGGAAAGAAATATAAAAAGGAGAGGAGGGTCATTGCACAGCCTGGGAGGTAAAGCCAGACGAACTCTAAGAAGCCTTCCAAAGCTAAGCCTCAGACTTTCTATGAGATCCCTGCATACCTGAGCTGTACACTTTTCTACCTCTAGGAAATGCAGGTCCTGCAATGCGCGGCCGGAGGGAACGTGAACGTGGAGATGAACGCGGCGTCCGGGGTGGACCTCACCATCCTGCTGAACCACATGCGGGCCGAGTACGAGGCCCTGGCCGAGCAGAACCGCAGGGACGCAGAGGCCTGGTTCAACGAGAAGGTGAGTTCTGTCCAAAAAAAAAAAAAAAAAAAAAAACAACGATTCCTCTGCCTCTTAGTGATGGTCACAAAACTAAGATTTGCTCCCTCACTCCTACCTTTTCAGAGTGCTTCGCTGCAACAGCAGATCTCTGAGGACGTTGGGGCCACAACCTCAGCCCGGAATGAACTGACCGAAATGAAGCGCAATCTCCAAACATTAGAAATTGAACTTCAATCTCTCTTAGCCACGGTATGAAAAGGACAATTTCTTACCATCTTCCAGAGTATCGTTTTAAATATGCGCCAGTTGGTTTTAAAGCCCTTAACCACGGTGAGAATATATCCACATGTATATTTATGCAATGAACCTAGAACATAAGAATAGGATTTTACATAGAACAGCTAAAACAGCAACATTAATGTCTCTAGCTTATTCCACCAAAAAGAGAGATGTGCTCCTTTTTAAGAATGCCATGGAGTCTTCTTCACTACGTGTCCATGTGAAATCAAACTCAGTTGGAGACGAAATTAACAAGAGAAGGAAGTCATCTATCAGAGCAAACATCTGCGTATCTCGGGTTCTGCATCTCAGGTTCGTTCTTGTTTCCTGACAGAAACACTCCCTGGAGTGCTCCCTGACCGAGACCGAAGGCAACTACTGTGCACAGCTCGCCCAGATCCAGGCTCAGATCGGGGCCCTGGAGGAGCAGCTGCACCAGGTCAGAACCGAGACGGAGGGCCAGAAGCTGGAGTACGAGCAGCTGCTCGACATCAAGGTCCACCTGGAGAAGGAAATCAAGACCTACTGCCGCCTGATTGATGGAGAGGATGGGTAGGTGAAATAATTTACAGGGAAGATGTCCGTAATGAAGTCCACTTGACACTTAGATCCCTAGAAAGTGAACGTAAACTGACATGACTGCATTTGTTACCGTGAATGCTAAACATTAAACATAACACGTGACCGCCAAGGTACAAATTAACGACATCTCACAAAACCAAAATGGGACAAGCCCTGTATTAAAGGTATGACAATTAAAAATATCGCCTCTTGATGCTAATGCTAAAGCAGAATAGTTCCAGCTGTGTAACCCACTGCAACTGTTCTCACAAACAGTCAAAGAAAATGCAAGAGTGAATCTAGAATTGAAAAGGTTCTCTCTAGAGGCACCTGGGTGGCTCAGTTGGTTGGGCATCCAGCTATTGATTTCAGCTCAGGTCATGATCTCGGGGTCATGGAATCAAGCCCCACATCGGGCTCTGTGCTGAGCATGGAGCCTGCTTGAGATTCTCCCTCCCTCTGCCTCTGCCCCTCCCCCCCATTCATGCACTCGCACTCTCTCTCTAAAATAAATAAATACAATCTTTTTTTAAAAAAAGAAAGAAAGAAGGAGTTCTCTCTAAATCACTCTCTTTTGTGAGTTTCCAACAATATGTGTTCACAGGGCTTGCAAGTCTGGAGGTTACAAGTCTAAAGATTATGGATCTGGAAACGTGGGAAATCAAGTCAAAGGTAATTAAAATGCAATTCTGTTTGTATGCTGTACTATTTCATTTGCAATGTCCAGCTTGGTTGTTTTTATATTCCCAGGGCTTAGTAAGAATAGATAATGATAAAGATTTATAGTACACACATCAGCGTGTGATGGATGTCTAACTTTAGTGATATGCACTAATTTTAAACAAAGTAATATGTCACCAGGCTTTTAGCTAACCAAGAAATCAAAATTCACCAAAAAATCATCTACTTTGTGCTTACTGCATAGTCCATCCTATTAAAAATCCTATTATTCCTTTAATTTATAGAATTTCTTATTCATCTTTTTTTTCAATTTTTTCATTGTGGTAAAATACACAGAACACAAACTTTACTGTCTTAGCCATTTTTAGGGGACAGTTCAGTGGCATTAAGTACATTCATATTGTGGTGCAACCAGCAACACCATCCATCTCTAGAACTCTTTTCATCTTGCTCTGTAACTAGTAAACAATAGCTCCCCCTTCCCTCCTCCTCCAAACCCCTGGCAACCACCACTCTACTTTCTCTCTCTATGCATTTGACTACTCTAAGTCCCTCCGATAAGTGGAATCATACAATATTTGTCTTTTTGTTGATAATTTACTTCACTGAACATCATGTCTTCAAGATTCATCCATGTTATGGCATATGTCAGAATATCCTTTCTTTTGAGATGTGGTATATATATACAATGGAATATTATGCAGCCATCAAAAGGAATGAGATCTTGCCATTTGCAATGATGTGGATGGAACTGGAGGGTATTATGCTGAGTGAAATAAGTCAAACAGAGAAAGACATGTATCATATGACC